CAACATCATATGATATTTTAGAGGGTAGTACATATACATGTACTTACAAAAAGAATTCATACCTTTTTTTACGTTCATCCGCAATTTCCTGGTTATGGGCTCAAACTGTAACCAAAATCGTTTGAATAATCGAAAGCAAGTCCCATTTTCCTATAATTTTTTTGCCCATTCGACTTCGGCTACTATTACTATTATTCCAAAAAGAGAAATGGTTTCTTCATTCCATATTAATTCTGTATTACCACCCGCACTTTAATAAGGGAGGTATTGCAATGGGACAAAAAATGACACCCTCTTCATTTTTGTGACGGAAATACACGTTTTAAAGCACCAGGAATCCGAATGAAACAAAATTTTGATTATGTCGGTTTATTTATTTATTTATTTGTTTAACCAGAAACCATACAGAATAAAAATTCCAATGACATGGCACTGGGGCTCTGAACAAATATTAGTACTTAAGATCTAATTTGATTTATTATTGAATTTAGGGGATCGTGAAAAAAGTCGATATCAATAACTGAGGACAACTTATTTAAAGTGATCAAGATCTTAATAAGTGGGGAAGTTGTGTTGTTAACTGCAAAAATAGTATTATTTTGCCTTAGCTTAACAAATGGTACCTTAAGCTTAATTTCTTGAAGTAATTCGGAAGGGTTTAACAAATTGTGTAAAATTTTGAAGACAAAAATTGTGGAGGCAATGTACCATCGGGTTTCTAACCTCGTTATATTTAAGCCGAAAGTACTATTTAAGTAATTAAGCTGGGTACCGTAAGAGATCAAATGTGGATAATTTTCGGTTGACCTAAAAACATTACTCGGATGAACTTTTTCTGCACTTTTTCGATCATGTCTGAGTATTTGACAGTTTGAGGAGACCAGATACATGCAGCATACTCAAGCTTGGATCTAATAAAGGCATTATACAGGGTGACAATTTGAAAACTTACCACCCCCCATATCTTAGTAAATAAACGAGATATTTAAAAAAATCAAAATCCGTTTCGGTAATTTGGAGGGGGAATCACAATGACATAGTTGGCGACGCACCCCCTCCAACCCCCTGTGCCCCAGCCACCCCAACTTTTAAATCTTAAATAGTGACCCCCCATGTGTGATACGTTGTTGGAAAGCTCTGAAAAAATGCTTTCCAACCATACCAAATAGCATTACATTTAGGTTAGTAATTATCGTGCAAATCAAAAAATAAGATATGAGGGGTGGTAAGTTTTCAAATTGTCACCCTGTATAAGGTTAGCATTGTCTGTATATTCGTGAAATTGAGTGTATTTCTGATAACGAAACCAAGAAGTTTGTAACACTCATTTGTTAGGTATTCAATGTGTAAGTTGAAGTTAAGGTTGGTATTGAAAAACACGCCCAGTTCCTTAACGGAGGTGACTCTTAGTAAGACCTTTCCATTCATCTTATATTCTAACAGTAAGGGATTTTTCGATCTAGTAACAGTAAGGACTTTACACTTATTGATATTTAGTTTTAGTTTATTTTTGATACACCACTTAATTACTGAGTTAATGTCCTCTTGAATATTTAAACAGTCACTTGGGGATTGGACTTTATTAAAAAGTTTTAGGTCGTCCGCAAATAGTAGTGCTTTCGAGTTTTTTTATCACTCGCGGTAAATCATTTATGTATAAGAGAAACAGAAAAGGACCAAGAAGTGTTCCCTGGGGAACGCCTGATGAGGGATAAAATTCGGCTGAATTCACACCATTCACTCTTGTTTTACGGAGAGATAAATATGATTTCAGGAATTTGACGGTCGGATTACTTACGCAATTTAAAACAAGTTTACGGAGCAAGACTTGATGGGATACTGTGTCAAATGCCTTCGCAAATTCTGTATAAACACAGTCTACCTGGGCTCTCTCATCCAAGGTTGCTGCTGAGAAATGCGTAAACTGCATTAAATTGGTAATCGTTGATTTGTTCCGCGTGAAACCGTGCTGTTGATCTGCAATTATACTGCTGAGATGGGAATAAAGTCTAGTATAGATCACTCTTTCGAAAATTTTCGCTATTGCTGGTATAATTGCAATTGGGCGATAATTCTCAACTAATTTCGGCTTCCACTTTTGTGAATTGGTGTTATTCTGGTGCATTTCCAAGCTTCAGGGAATGTACATGTTTGCAAAGCTAAATTAAATAGATGTAGTAAGGGGGTTACCAATAAAGATGCAGATCCTTTTACGATGTAGGGTGGGATTCCATCTTCGCCCATAGCCGACCTCGGTTTCAATTTTTTAATTGCTTCCAGTATCTCGGATTCATGTAACTGAGTCAAGTGCAATTTGGATACCACCAGGTCCGATTCCACGCCATCTTCCGGGCCATCGTTCCTCTCAACAGTGTAGACTGACTCGAAGAAGGATGCAAAAGCGTCCGCAATGCTTCTGGCGTCCGTTAACGAGGTGTCTTTGTACTCAAAAACTCCAAGTAGTTGACTATTCTTCCTCAACGACTTGATGTAGTTCCAGAATTTATTGGAATTCTTCCGCAGATCCATTTCAATTTGATTAATGTACCTCTTATGAGCAATGTGGATCATTCTTTTGAGTTCTTTTCTGGCTTCAATGAAGTCTTCCGATTGGCCCTGTAACCGAAACTTATTTTTCTGTTTGATTTTCTTAATAATGTCTATATTAAACCAGCTAGGATACTTATTGGCACTCCTAATTGTAACTTTGGGACACATTCATCGAAAATGTTCATTACCGTTTGATTAAAGCTAGTTACTGCATCATCTACCGATTTGAAATTCTTCAGGATAAAAGACTCCTTCCAATTAATATCGCGAAAAAGGACGTACATTTTAAGAAAATCTGCTTTTTTGAAATTGAAGTTGGTTAATTTAGTAATTCGCTTAGCTGGTCTATGGACTTTGTAGACTATTTCTAGTGCAGGATGAAGTGGATTAATTTTATCCAGTGAGTCGACAGCAGATTTAATTTCCGCGTTTAAGTTAGTTAAAATTAGGTCAAGGGTTCATTATTGCAGTTTTTTTTACTGTATTTATGAGTTTTAAGTTGTACATCGAAGCTATATTTTTAATTACTTTGCATTTAGCACTCGCGTTTTCGAAATTATACGTGGCGTCAACAATTTGTGGTAGGTTAAAATCGCCTGCTATTCATTTTGTTAGTGTTTTTGTTAGTCTGTTGGTCTGTAGTCATTTCCGGCTAAACGGTTGTACCTTGAACCGATGGGAATCAAATACGCAGGTGTGGGGGTGCTATCTGTGTTAAATCAAGTTGAGTTGTGGCCGTCAACTTTATCGATTCTTCGTCTACTTCCTGTTGGTCAGATACTTGCCATCCTATTCTCTGTCATTCTTGCAATGGTGGCCAAAATTTTCATCACTATGTTCTGATAGTTCCAATATTTTTTTCTTCTGTTTTAAATTGAAGCAGCTCAGTTCCTAATCAATGAATCAATAAGAAACTCCAGTTTTCGTTGCAGACCGTAAAAAAAGTAGTGGATAGTTTAGAAAACACAGATTGTGCTGTAGTGATCTGGAGTAGGTAGGAAATATATAAATATAAAATAGGCGCTATTAATAAAAAAGGTTACCTCATTGATAATTTTTAGCTCATTCATTCATTCAAGTGCGGCCAAAGCTTGCGTATTTCTGGTGCACTTCTCAGAAAATCTAAAGATGTAAATTGATCACACACTACGAAACGTATCTAAAACAGAACCTTGCCTAGGATTACCGCATCAAAACTGAAGCAGCTGTCACTGACAAGCGAAACTAATAATTCTCACGCCGAACACAAGTTTATATTTGAAAAAAATGTTTATGGGTCACTGATGATAGCGTAACAGGATAGTCTTGTACACGTATCTTATCATTCATCATTCTGTTACTAGCGGTAACACTAATTAATACTGTCTGTTGGCATGTACACGCATCAATCAGTTACCAAGTGCAAAGCTTGACGTGTGGCATCTTTTAAAGCGTCAAACCGCTTAAAGCAAAACTTATTAATAGCGCATATTAAAATAATACAATTCAATTTAAAAATAGATTTGTAAACAGGAAATGTCAATTTAGTAGCTATCGCAACCCCCTTTATAATTACTAGATTTATTTTACCAGCGAGGCTATATCCCTCTTCCTTAAGTGCGCCATTTAATGCGAAATCTCTTTTTTTTAAGAATTTAATTTCGTAATAAAGAAGATTAAAGTGGCTATAGTAATAAAAGTGGGGTGTATCAGGATAACGTCGAGTAGGTAAATAAAAGTAAAGCTGTAATTTTATTTTACGGTAAAATATATATTTTTTAATCTACGACTATTAAATAACGCTCAAATAACGTCACTATATTTTAGCGAATTATGATATGCATTATTATCGGTTCCTCTAAAATCCTTATATACAACTACTTTATGTCACTATATATTTCTCATAATTGCATATGTATAAGTTCATAATTGCATATGTACTAAAAATAGAACCGCCCATCTCGTATGTACTACCTGTCAGTTTTGTTTTGAATTAAGCATTTCTTAGGTTAGAAATGAGAGATTTCGGGTTACGTACGCTTAACTTTGTAGGTTTATTTGAAAAACAATTAATACAGGAACTTGATCCACCCCTATGACGAGATATGTGCGATATTTATAAAATGGGATGAAATAAACTTGTAAAATACCTGAAGTCATTGGCAAGTTCAGGCAACGTTACTTAACGACAGATACCTTCGCTGATACAAATATTCTGCATGAGCATGAATAAGGTTTTCGTTTGTATTTAAAGTATCTGTACCTTCATATTCACAAGGCATTATTTGTAGCATAATGGATTATCGGAAGCCCCATTTGAAGATTATGCTAGGTATAACCTATAAGTTTCAGCCTTTTACGAAGAGAAATATGTTTCGTACAACATATGTGGTATTGTTGTCGAAATTGTGCCACGATACAAAACAATAACATATTGTAAACTCGTTGACAATAAAGGATACAAATTGTCGTAGCACTTAACCACCGTTTTGCATGATTTATTTAAGAATTGATAATTCGTAACAGGTCTTACATACTAGGCATTGACCAAATTACTTAAATAGATGGCTACAATATGTACGTTAACTAATAAAAAACACCCCTTGCCCTTAAATTTGCAATAAAACTATGCTTTCATTGCTTAAACTTCGTTTCTAAAAGAGGAAGAAACTTCTTGGATGCAGGTCGGAGAAGCGTAACGAAGTCTTTGAAAAATTAGATTATGTATGCGAAACAAAATATTGTATTCCATTTGGCAGCTGTGTAACAATTTCTGCAGACATAATTGATACATCGGGATCGGATTTAGAGAATAGTTGTACAGGTACATCACATAAATATCCACCTTACTTCCATAGGTTATGTCACAATCTAAAACAATGAAAAATGAATGACAACCATTTATATTAGCAATAATCTTACGTGTAGGTAATTACGTGTTGAATTAATGACTTCTGGGAACTTTAGATAAATTGCATATTTAGTTCGCCACTTAGGTACATTGCGATACATTGAATTAGATTTGAGGTTAAATACCGTCAACGAATGAACGAACGCAAACCAAACCATAGGCACAGATTTAAATATTTAAATCTGTGCCATAGGCGTACATTGCGCTACCGCTATGAAGTTGCTACGTTTCAAACTGATTCAGATGCCGCATTTTCTATTTAATTAAATAGTCGTAGATAAAATAGCGTATTTTACTTGCATATAAAGGCGATTATGACACTCGGAAATTTACAACACTCGCCTTCGGCTCGTGTTGCAAACTTCACCTCGTGTCATAATCGCACACTTTATATGCTCGTATAATAATATACTATTAAGGGTTCCATTTTGAAAGTAATATTTCCCGACATAATATAATAGTAAAGTAGGAATTTGTGTTTTTTAGTGTCTATTGCGTATAATCTAACTTTATCAATTCTAGTAGTCAAAAGTGGACGAAAATGTTTGTTGGCGGTTTCGTCTTTCCCAGTCTCAGCGGACCAGAATTAAAAAAACCCACACTGATCTTTAGACACGATCTTAAGATGAATGAGAGCGATGGCTGGATAACTTAAAAATTCCTGGAAAAGGCTAGATAGTTTTTCCGAAAAAGTTTCTTTTTTGCCAATCTGTTTAATAACTCTATCAATTTTGTTGTAATAAAATGTTTGCAGTTTAGATTCTAAAGAACAACGTCTATTAGAACATGTTTTTTTCCTTTCCTTTTTTTTACCAATCCTGTAAAAATTCGAGTCTTATGTCAGTCAGATGAGTATGGGACTTTTTTCATTGACGATTGCTCTTATGGCCTCTTGTAGCAATACATCAAATAAATTATTGTTCCACATATTCATTCTTTTTGTTAGTAAGCTTCTAATGCCTGATCCGGAAATAATCATCTTTTCCCTTTGAAGAATAGTTGCACATAAGAAAAAAAATTCCTGAAGAATTCACAATCCATTGACAACTGCTTTTATTTCAGACGTTAAGAAGTCAACAAATTGTCTTCTTTGAGGTAGTAAATACTGTCTACCTTTAATTCTCATTACACAATTCCCTCTTCTATTCTAAATATGTATTTCTTCACCACCCATTTATGAGAGGTGCATCGAAACCTCGTATAATTAAATTATGTAAAAATGGTGGGATTTCATCCTTTAGTAAAGGCCTGATTGTTGCTTCCCGATATATCTGTCATTTGTATGTATCCTTTGTATATATTCATCCCTCGTTTATCTTTAAACTTTTTTTTGACATATCAGGCTGATTCAAATTCGAGGGCCACCATGGGTATCTCGGGAACTGGAATAGGTAGGTAGTTTAAATATGGTAAAGTTGCGTATTTTGATGCTTAACAAAATGCAGTTTTGGAACTGAAAAAATTCCGAATACTTTCGGAGATATCGGGAAATTTTGCAAAATCGGTCGCGTGAAAAGTGGTATACAGGAATAATAATAATAATAATATTTAGGTATTAGTATTTTTGTGCGGTTCTTGCGAAAGCGAAAATCTAAAGCTATCCATATTAGTAGTGGTATTGACACTACAAGGATTTATTCGCATTGCCATTAATAATTTCTGCGAATTCTTGCCCATTTCTAAATTAGTAATAACACCACAAAGTAAGCATTATTATTTCTAAAGGACGCCGCCCATCTTTTTCCATGCATTTCAGTTCTTAATTTTATTCCAAAAAAGAGCGAAAAGAAACGCTACATTAGGAATTCGAGATACGTTCGGAGACCATTAAGTCTACAATTTGAAATGTAAGAAACACCCATAAGTAATGACGCTTAAATTACCATCGGTTCTCCGCGCAACGTTGCCTGCATTTAAAAATTGATTGGGGCCACGACACCGCCATATTAAATTTAATTATTTTAAATTAAACGAGTACGATTATTGTAACAAATTTCATTTGCTTAATGAAATACGTGCACGGTCCTTACAAATTTCCGTCATTTGTCTCGAAAGGCAGCTCGTGTAGTTTCCAGATTAAGATTGAGTAAATGTTGAGCTACTTTTGGCAGAGTGCGTTCTTAAATTACTCACGCGTCCGCCGCTTTAAAAATTATTTTTAGCACTTATCAGTCGGGCTAATGCTGAAAAAGTGATTTACTGAAGTTATAGTTAACATCCCTGTCGCGTTCCTCGAATATCACTGTTACAAATTTTCAAGTGTCACGTTTAATCCTTGACGAATGAGAGCGAGTACCCCAAGTCAATTTTCCGTACCAGAAACTGCATTCGCCGCGGTAATACAATTACATCAAGTTTGAACAATATTAAAATCAGCCCAGAAAACGTAACGCAATTAATTTTACGTCATTTCAAAGCCCTAATTAGTCAGATGATAGACAGAAACGATGGTGATGAATAACAAATTGTGGTATGAATTATTCAATTAATTTCGTGAATAAATTTTCAATGGCGTTCCTAATTTCTAATATACGAACGTGTAACGGCGCAACCCTCGGTTTCGGGATTGATAAAATATAATATCAGATCGAGGTTTCGTTTATTAAGAAAATATTTTGAAACGCACTATACGCGAGCGAAGTAACATTAAAAGTGGGATCAAGAGCAGATTAAGGGAGGAATGATTGTAGACATCTGTTGCTGGATATTTACATAATCTTGGCTCCACGCCTGCATCGTGTACTTACATCCGCTCGTTGTTTTCTTAAACAGCTTTAATTGAAAACAGTGGAATTTATTAGTCATGTGCGTGGTTCATTATAATAATTACCATATTTGGTTTTAGTGATAGCGAACAGATTTAAACTGTGCCTGTAATAATAAAGGCCTATCCTCAAACTTTGTAAAGCTCCACATTCGTTAAATCTACATGATAATCTCTGTATATTTAACATCTACGGTATCGCCTTTATCTTACTAACGCTCCCACACTCGTGTTAACAATGAGTACACTTTGGAATTGCATGTTCTAGTTTACTATTCTGATACTTTCAAGATAATCAAATTTTCCTAACACTAATTAAGATAAATTCCAAATTAAGAACATCGCCTCTTAGAACACTTTTAGATAAACTAGAAAACATCAATCGCGAATTTTTTTATGAAATCCACTGCTAGAAGCACGTTCGGATCAGAAACCCAAAATAGCATTCGAATTTATTGGAAGTAATTGCTTCTTTTGAGTAAAGCCCAATTGACATAGTCCAAGCGCACTTGTGTGACAACTTGGTACGCTTGGTCAAAGTTGGTTTCCACGACAGTGTGCTTGAGTAGGTAGTCAAGATGTCGGATTTGGTGTTAAAAGGTATGGGACTAGTTGCAGATATGTTTATACAAGAACTTCAATTTATTGATGAATAACGTGGTTCTTCATTAGATCATCTTGACCCAGATCTTCAGAATGGTCATCAATTGTGCAGTTTTCTAAATTATGACACTTGCATAAATGGTTTCTGCAGCTACATCTGGCTGTTTCACCCCCTTTTTCACATTTATGTATAAACTGTCACTTTACACACACACAATAACCCCCACCCCATCCAATGTTGGATTCCTTTTGCATAAGATGACCATGCTGTTGGGGGATATTATCTATTTCTAATGCTGTATTATGAAAAGAACGTGGGTGCCTCGGCCATTATTCGTCAGAGAAATATTAGTGGACTTTTTTATAAGATATTTCATCTTAAAAGAGTTTGTAGGAAATTAAATCTTGTGAGGCATTGCTATACAAATAATAAAAGAAAAATCAAAATGTGAAAATGTCTCGATTTTTCTCGCTTCATCCACTCACAGTCGCTAATCGATTGAATCTATAGTGTCGAAACCGCGCGAGATAATAAATTAATGAAACGAGTAATTGTAGAATGCCTTCCGCCTGTGAATTATTCCCCAAAGTTGTATAATTACAAAAAAAGTGAAGAAGACAGATGAAGCGAATGTCATTTATAAAATTGCCCAGGGGAGATTCAGTGTAATAAAAAAATACAAGGAAAAATTCAATTTTAATTCCGTAATAAATCGGTTGCATAAGTAAATCCTAAACGGGGCCAATTTATAACAAACCACTCGATGACCCAACGTTAGGTCATATTTCTTCCACTAGGTGGTTGGTGGTTCACACAGCACGTATTCAAACAAGAGCTCGAACAAGTGTCACTTGTCGCGTCTGATTTACTGTTGGGGTTCCTTTTGGTCATTAATTTTATCCGATTTCGATCATGATCACAATTTTTTTGTCTTTTCCGTGCATTATAATAATATTGGGGTTTTTATGTAAACTGACGCGAGACTCGCAGGCTGTCAAATTGAATTACAATTCGCTTTATACGCATATAATTGTACAAGCCAGTGATTGTAGGAAAACGTAAAGCAACTTCCCTTGGGACGTATACTACACGGATTATACATGCTAATGCGGCTTCAGTCTAACCAGACGTGCACCTGCTACCGCTAATAATTCATAACAAAAGCAAATGGAGTTAAAGGATTACACTTTATTTTCTAAAACAAATACCTACTGGAAACGCTCTGTAACAGGTTGTCACGCAAATTGTCTTGTTGTAGTTGCTAGTCGCCATGTAGAGGCATTTTGAGCGACTGTGGGATGCGTTTTATTAGTTATTCATCTTAAAAAACAAACCTGGTCGATGCTCATAACGGAATTTGAAGTGTTTTTCGTCTCTAATGACATTGTAGACAACTTAGAAGCATGGCCGTCTGAAGAATAAAGTTTGCAAAAATGGGATTAATTATTTTAATTCAGTAAATGTATTCCAACATCCATTAAAGAATTAATTAACGGTAGATCAACCATGCGTAATTTACCTAGCAGCCCCTCCGACCGCAATAATGAATGAGATTCTTAATAAAAAACGTAATTACTACGTTCTAAAACTCTTCCCAAGAAATATATAACTAAGAATATTTCATTTCGTTTGTACCCGACTAATTGTTCGGCAATTCTTCCACAGCTGAGCAAGGATTGCAGAGATAATACAATGCAATTAATTGTTCTTGAAACCGCCATTTGCAGCAGGAATGCCTCTATTGTTCACATTAATTGAATCTGTAGACGTTTCTGTACT